GTCAGGGAGGCCATGCCCCCACCGTGCTCCGCCAGCAGGCGGCAGGCGTCCTCCACGCCCCAGTGGGCCGCGGCGTGCAGGGGGGTCCAGCCGTCCCCGTCCCGGAGCTCTGGGTCATAGCCAGCCTGGAGCAGCAGCCTGGGGGTCAGAGGGGCTGGGGGTCAAGGACCAGGACAAAGTGCTGGAAGCATCCCGGACCAGGGGGTACAAGGACCAGTGTCCCACAAGTGACCCATCCGCCAGCAGCCATGACCTCTCCCCTGGCCCGCAGGTGGCCTCTGGTCCCTGCAGCTGGGGGTGGAGGCACAATGTCCTGGGACCCCAGCAGCTCTGAGCGCCGGGTCCCAGCCAGGGCCACCCGCCCCCGGGGACAGCTGGTGCCTGAGCCGACTCTGGCCGCCACACTGAGGGGCGGTGCCAGCAGCATCAGCGATGGGCGCCAGGGATGCCGCTGACCCCACCGCGCAGAGGACGGCCCCCCGCAGAGGGTGATCTGGCCCAGAGGCCACCAGTGCCAGGCTGAGAAACCCGCTAACGTCCTTCTCCGGGTGACAGTCACCCACCCGAGACCACGCCATTGAGGGGAAGGCAGGGCGACAAGGCCAGGGCGACTCCGCACACTCAGCTCCGGGCGGAGAACGGGCGTCAGTGAGCAGGGCAGACGCGAGGCTAACGAGCTCGCTTCTAAGGAACCTTGTTACCCAAAACCTGCTCCGTGGCCCTGCTGACACGTCACACGCCTGCCCCGGGCGCCCTCAGCCCAGCCCTGCTGGGTGCTTGCTCTTTCCCCCAGGGGGCCGGCCTGGGTCCTGTCCTGCTGCCCTCTGCCTGCCGTGTTCTCAGCGACCTTCCAGCAGGGCCTGGCCTTGCCCCGGGGACCGGCTCTGGGGCGGGCAGGTGCCCAGGCAGCCCTGGGCGTCAGACCCAGGACTTTGGCTGGAGCAGGGACAGGGCAGCTGGGACACCAGCCTGGAGCTGAGGGGTCGTCTTCAGCACCTCGCTGGAAAACCTGCCTGGAGAGTCCACACGGAGGGGAACGGAGAGGAAAGGGTTCATCTTAACTCCATTTTCACACTAAAAATAAAGTGTAACATCACAACGGGGGCGGGGGTGGGGTGGGGAGGGGTGTTAGAGAGAGCGCAGGGAGCCGGAGGGCAAGAACTGGAACCTGCTGCCCCAACAGAAGGGGACGGGGCAGCCGAAATGGACAGGACGGAGGTGTGTGGCAGGAAGGGAGTGTGCACCGTAACAATTTAATCTCTACACGCCCCAAACAGCCGTGCCTCGAAATACATAACAGAAATGGACAGAGCCACAGGAGGGATGCCCAAAATCCACAGCCTGGGGTTCTATCACACCTTCCAGTAACTGGCAGAATAGCAGGAGGAGAAATAAACCACTGAGGACACAGATTTAAATAGCATGACGACGACGCTGACCCAGTAACCTACATATAACACTGAGCCTGACAACGCAATTCTCTCCCACCGTTCTCACACTGGAGAATAAAATAAAGCAAGACTCCAACAAAGTCAAGAAATCTGGAATCATACAGAACCCCATTCCCTGACCACAGTGCAATTAAATCAGGGCATGAGTAACGAAACAAGATTCCATACACTTGGAAATTAAAAACATACTTCTAAATAATCCATGTGTCAAAGAATAAAAATTACATGTTGGAAGATGTTTTAAACAGGATGATGATGAAAGGTCTATACATCAAGACTTATGGATGCAGCTAAGGCTGTATTTAGAGGCCAATACATAGCCCTGAGGACATAAATTAAGAAAAGATGGGAATGGACAAAATCACAGGAAGGAGTAAGACAACAAGAAGGAACAGACTGGCCCCAGAGAAAGAGCAGGGGAAAGGGCGGGTCCCTGCCAGCCCAGCTCACCTCATCACTTCGATGTAGCCCTTAGCAGCCGCCACATGCAGAGCAGAGGCCCCCGTGCGGGGGTGCCGGGCCTCAGGCATGGCACCTCCGTTCAGCCAGCACCTTGTGTCGTGAAGTAGCAATTCCTCCTCGGCTCGTTTGGCTGCCTCCACATCCACACCTGGGAGGACAGGAAGGGGTGACAGGTGGGACTCACCCCAAAGTCTAGGAAGCACAGCTCACCCTGTGCCTTGCCCTGTCCCTCCCCGTCTGTGCGCTCCTCCAGGACTCAGAGGTTCTGGGCCAGCTCAACCACTTCCCAATCACGTTTT